ATTCTTGAGAAAAAAAAAAGAAATGGAATTGATTTTTATTTTATTTTAATTAATTATTGTATTGTTAGTATAGTTTCTTTGTTTTACTCATCTTCATTTACTCATCTCATTCCTCAATCTCTTACTCTTACTGTTTTACTCATCTTATTCCTCAATCTCGAAAACCCCCGGAAACCGATTCACATCTGAATTTCTTTTTGTATCATCCAGAAAGGAAAACTCCTTGTATTAAACGTTCTTTGTGTGCGCGCAAAATCGCTGCTCGCCTGGCATACCCGTTTGATATAGGGTAAAAACCTAGGCCAATCAATCAAGCCAAAAAAAACGAGCTCAATTTCGATCAATCCTTGAGAAAAACAGGGGGGGAAAAGTGATCGCGATCAATCTCTCGTTTCCCCCAATCTCTCCCAATCTCCCCCAATCTCCCCCAATCTCTCCCTGTCATTCATAGTCTGTGCTATTGACTGAAACATTGTTCTGATCAGTGATTCAAAAAAATTCTCGCGAATTCGGGGTAAATTTATCCCAAATTTGTCTTTCTTTTTGTATCTATCTATGCGATTTATCTGTTTATTGTTTTTTTTTCGATTTTTCCACACCAAACACCAAAATGACAATGCGGATTTGTCGGTTAATTGGAGTGAAAGGTTTTCGCTTGTTTCATTGCTGACTAGACTCACTTTTTTTTTTTTGAGTTTGACCTAGTTTTTTGTCTAATTTTTGGTTGATAGAACAGATTTTGACTTTACAGGTTACAAGTTTTGTCCTTTATTTGACTTCTCTCTAGAAGCTGCCTGGTTGCTTTTATTTCATAAGTTTTTATAGTCAAAAGATAGCCAATCTTTTACAGAATTTAAATCTTATTACATTTTTGAATAAATTTTGATTTATTGCTTTTCTATGCTCTTCGAAAAAAAGCTCTGTTTCATAGATTTTTCGCTTTTTTTTTATTGGAAAAATTTCTATAAAAATTAGAAATTTATTGTTGTTTTATTTCTAGTTTTAAACTTATTAAACAATTTTTTTTAAATATTACTAATCATTTGTTTCTAAGTTGGATAGATTTTCTTATACTAGTTGTACTAATAACGGGTGTGATCACAGAAAGTTCACGCAAACGCAAATTCACTCAAAATTTAAAGTTATTTTAAAAAATAGGCTTTTAATTCTGTGAATAATTGGCTATCTTTTAGATATAAACACAAATAATAAAAATTAAAGAGAATTTAATTGAAGAATTGAAGAGAATTGAATTTTAAAAGGATCGAACTTTTGCCCATCTTGTATATTGAACTTATAAATTCCTATTAACTTCAGAAATCTTTTTTCCTAAAAAATCCCTTTTTTCCTTATTGTGCCTAAAGTATATTGTGTACATTATTTTAAGTATTCTATTCTTGCCCAAAGATTTTTAATCAAGCCAACCCTAGTAACTAGATCTTGGCTTCTGCTCGAACTCTACCGAATCGCCGATCTTCTCACTAACTCTTTGTCACCCTAGTTAAATCAAGTTTGAAGTGTTCTGGGCTTATTGAAAGTACTGTTGACCCATTGACCCATTGATTCTCTGCGTCTCTGAGTCCTAAATTGGCTTCCGACCTCTAAACGTTCTTCTCTCAAGTTGAGAGTCTCAACAGTTCTCTGAACATTGATCACCCAGTGACCGCAATCTAATCTATCTGATTGAAATGAGTGATCTCTGTCCTAAATTCTCTTCCAAACCTTTAAAGATTCTGCTATCAAAGATCTATCAATTTGCCTATTTCAGAGATCACTTAAAGAGGGGCAATCTTTAGAAATCTCAGTGAATATATATGTTGTGTCCGATTCAAACAAGCTGACTACCAAATTGCAAGAAAAACTTCTCAAAATTGTCACTGTTTATGCAAAACAAATGATAAAGAATGCTATTTTTCTCAAGGAAATGCTTATATGTTGTGTCCGATTTAGATTGAACTTATCGCGGACGTCCGATTTAGATTACAGTCTATATCGGACGTCCGATTTAGATTCAATCTAAATCTTATATAGATTGAACAATAATATAAACATGCTTAATATATGTTCTTAAGCGTTTTCTGTAGTTTTCTGCATTTTTCAAAGGTCTTTTATTGATTACAGTCTATATCGGACGTCCGATACAGATCGAACAATAATAAACGTGCTTAACATATGTTCTTTGAAAAGCGCAGAAAATTGCAAAAAAACGCTTAAGAACATATATTAAGCACTTTTATTAATTGTTCGATCTGTATCGGACGTCCGATATAGACTGTAATCTAAATCGGACGTCCGCGATAAGTTCAATCTAAATCGGACGGAAATCTAAATCGGGCACAACATATATAAAGAGGCTATGGGGGTTGATCGACGGTTGATCGACGATCTCTCTAGATAATTCCAATATCTCATATCAAATTTCTCTTCTCTCAGCTAATTGATATGATCTCCCTTTCAAGCTGGGAAGATATAAAGGAAGATCTGAGATCCCGATCCGGCTATTTTCGCTATCGGCTATTTTTAATTCCCCGAAAATTTTCCCTAATCTGCATATGTGATAAACAATTATTTTGATATCAAAATATGCGATATTAATCAAATCTGCGACCCGCGCCGCATGAGATCCTTGTTATTTTTGTGAGCTTTGACGAGCGCTTTATCCTCTCTGGGTGTTGTAATTGGTGGACGGCCTGATTTTGAAATCAAATCAATCAATTTTTTCTTTTATTAAAATCCCTCCTCTTGAATCGCTTTTCTTTCCAAAAATTTAGTTTGAATTAAATTAAATTAAATTAAATTGATAATATCCAAAATTTGCCAATTTTCGTATAATACTTTAAGAGCTTTAGAATCTACAATTACAATTACAACTACAATTACAATTACAACTACAACTACAACTACAATTACAATTACAGAATCTTCTGCTTGTCTAACTCTAATATCAGTCAGTCAATCAATCGAATTCTCATATTCTTTCTATATCTTTATTTTAATTATCATCATTACTTGAATTCTCTTTAATCACTAGAATAAGAATTTCTTAGTCAATCAATGCTTAATGTTTTTAGATCCAAAAATCCCTAGCAAGAAATTGTAAGATTTGAAAAGAGGAAATTTGTTGAGAATCTTCGATGTCATCAATGACTCATCAATCAAAGAAGAAAGGGAAAAGAAAGAGAAAAGAAAGGAAAAATAAAGGAAAAAAAGAAGATTCCCAAAATAGGGCTGAGAAAAGAGGAAGGGGAATCTTGAGGGAAATGGAGGCAAGATTTGGAAGGGGGGAAGATTCTGATGAGAGGGGAAGAGAGGGGAATGGCGATGAGGAGAGTGTTTGTGGGTGGGCGTTTGTTCTCTGCTGCTTTTCTTCTGTTTCTATTTTGCTCCCAAAACCAAAAGCTGGTTAAATTTGTGAATTCCTCCGATTAAACGTCGATTTGTAAATTTTTCGCTTTCATTAGCACAATACTATCCAGGTTTCAGCCTTTAGAATGACTCTCAACGGGAAATTTTTTGTTCTGTTCCTGAATTGTCTTCTGGTTTCTCTTTCTCTTTCCTTTCCTCCTCTTCCCTTCTTCCTTCCCTTCTCTTTCCTTCTTCCTTTCTTTCTCTTCCCTTCTTCCTTCCTCACTTCCACCAAAAATTTGATCATAATTAAGTGCTTCTTTGTCTTTTCATTAATTTATTTTGTAAATACTATTTTTTCTGAATATTTTCCAATACTTTATAACTAAACTAATCTATAATCGTTCCCCAAGGAATTGCAAGAGAAAACTTGACAATCTGGGTCAAACTTGTGTCAAAAAAAAGGGGTAAAAAAAGAGGGGGTCATCACAATTGGAAAAAGACAAAAAGAGAAAAAATTCGCATCGATTGATAATCTTTTTGATCGACAGATTTGGGAAAATTGAGAGAATTAGAGAAAAATGGGAAATGATGCAAAGAAAAGATGGGTCTTTTCATAGTTTTTTTTACATAAAAATCCTTTTTTTCTGTTTTTTTCTCATTTCAGACGTTGTGGCTATCGTTTTTTTTGCAGAAATTCTCAGCTTTTTCATTGCTCAATGAAATGCTCAATGAATAAATTGCTCAAATGAATAAATCGTGTTTTTTAAAGCGTTATCTACTTTAAATCTATTAAAGATTGATAACCCTCAAAAATTGAAATTGAAATTGAAATTCAAAATTGAAATTCAAAATTGATCCTTTTTTATCGATAAACTTTTTCATTACGTACTTTGCGCTTGAATCTCTGTAAAATACCCCTTCTGATGCACAGAAAACTCGATTTTCTTTGCGGAAATAAGTCATAGAAAAGGGAAGAATCGAAGAACGAAGTGGACCCTCCTGGCCCTCCTGGCCCTCCTGGCCCTCCTGGCCCTCCTGGCCCTCCTGGCCCTCCTGGCCCTCCTGGCCCTCCTGGCCCTCCTGGCCCTCCTGGCCCTCCTGGCCCTCCTGGCCCTCCTGGCCCTCCTGGCCCTCCTGGCCCTCCTGGCCCTCCTGGCCCTCCTGGCCCTCCTGGCCCTCCTGGCCTCCTGGATTTTCTTTTGTGCTTTACTTTTCATTCAAAATTTCTTTAATTTGATTTAATTTGATTTACCGTCTTTCTTCGAATAGAAGACCGGGTAAAGAGTATGATCGCGTACTCCTGCGTAGCAGCCCTTTTTAACATTTCTTTTCTGCATAAAAGCTTTCAATCAAGTGCTATAGAGCTGGAAAATGGCTCAAAAATGGCTCAAAAAATCTGTTAGCTCATGTGGTATTTTTGAGTCATTTTCCAGCTCTATAGCACTTGATTGAAAGCTTTTATGCAGAAAAGAAATTTTAAAAAGGGCTACTACGCAGAAGTACGCCATGATACTCTTTACCCGGTCTTCTATTCGAAGAAATACGGTAATTTTCTTTAATTTCTTTAATTTCTTTAATTTCTTTAATTTCCAGGTGATTATTCTGAAAGGAAAAGGAAAAGAAAAAGAAAAAAACACAAGAAAATCACAAAA